GCTATACCTGTAGAACAGTACATGATAGTATTATTAAACTAAACCTAAATATACCAGAAACTTCAGCCATGTGCATTATGTTGGTAAATAACAATATCAGAAAAAAAATTAAATTATTTCCATAAATTCGTTGGTAAAACCTTTTACCCATGTGCACTCTATTGGTAAATAATAGTATCAGAGAAAATATATTTGAATAAATCACTAATGTACAGTACATTGTTAAAATATTTTATCTAGGAAAAAAATACAAGCTGAAATTAATTAAATTAAAAAAATTGTAAAAGATTTACATTTAATAGCAAAATTTATGTAAACAATATAACAACCATCACATTTCATCAACATATTTAAAATATACACAACTATATTTCAAATTCAAAATATTTTCAAATTTTAAAAAATATCAAAGTATAATATCAAAATTTCACAAATATATCTCATATTATAATTCAAAAATTGAAAGCACAGTTTATGTAATATAAATAGAAGAATTTACCTCAAAATGAAATTCTGTTTGAAGTTTCTGTACCTACAAATATAAGTTTCAATTGTTAATAAATTTTATTTGTAAAAAAAAAAAGAGAAGAAATTAAGAAATCAAATGGATGTGTTTAGTTTTTTATTATGTGCAGATCAATACTAACCCAAACACCACTTAAAATCCTACAAAACAACAAGAAATGGAATGAGTATTAGCTTATTTCTAACTTAAATTACATTATTTGCATAAAAAAAAAAAGGAAATAAAAGTGAAAAACTATAGAAAATTGACGTACTAATAAGTTTTAATCATTCAACCATATACCACTCATAAATGTTAATGAAAAATCAAAAACTAACGCAATCTAACCAAGCTGGGGAACTAGAAGAAGGGGAGGGAAGAAAGCGGAGAGCAAGAAGAAGAAAGGAAGGAGTTAGGTTCTGTCAATTGTTGAGTATATAGGACCTTTCACCAATGTGACGCACGTGGGTGAAAGGTAAACGCTTTTCAATAGAGTGGGTGAATGATGCAAAATCGGGGGGAGCCTAAAAATTCAAATGTCCTTTTTTTAAAAAATTTTTTTATGCAATTCTTACTACGCTCTTCAACAACGTAATGTGCATCGTTGAATGGGGCAAATTGGCAGAATTTAAAAATTCTAATATTCTCTTATAGGTTAACCATTAAGAAGAACTTTACATTGAAACCAACGTCGGTGTTTTACATTTTTATTCACGTGGTTTTATTTGGGAAATTACTAATAATATTGAAAAAACTTTTCAATATATATTCCATGAATAATTTTAACTTTAACCTACATGATTGATATCAAAAATAGCAAACGAAATAATTAATATTTATTTTGTTTGATGTACCATACAACAACATGAGTTATATGGGTGAAAGTTAAAATCACTCATATGTACAATCATGTCGATAAATATATCTTACTAAAATTCTATTTTGCCATAGTGATGGACTTTTTTTTAGTCAAATAATAGTATTTAACAAATTTGGGCAGAATATGATATCATATTTATCACGGTACAAGTGTATCTAGTAATTAGTGTTAAACTTTGGATGACATGCTTTGGAATCATTTGATCACTTGATTAATTTCTCCCTTTTTAGTTACCTTTTACATAGGCGATTGCATTCATTTATTAGTAATGACAATTTAGGAAATTTTTTTTAAATAATCATAAATTTATTGATAATTTATGTCTCCATTGAAACAAATCTGTCACGGTAAATTCATCAATTTGCCCTATATGCAACTAGCATCCACAATTCTGATCTCATGATACTGTGAGAATTCCTGAGGCGAGTAAATAAAGAAAATAATTTTAGATATAATTAAAGGATGATTGTATATTCACAATGTCACATCACTTGCTGTTGGGAGCCAAATTTCTTTGGTCTAAAATGGTAAAAATTGTTGTTAGCTGGACCACCCACCAGCCTGGTAAAGTGGTCAGATCCGCTGGTCCAGTCCACGTATCACGTGTTAATCATTTATAACCTTCTTATTATTATTATTATTATTATTATTATTATTATTATTATTAGTATTTTAATTTAAACAGTCAAAGTAATTTTGAACTTTTTTTTGCATTTTTAGAGTAATTTTTTATTAAATGATTTTAAAAACATAACTCCCCAAATTAACATAATGTTTTTAGAGGAATTAATTTTTCTAAATATAAAATTTAAAACTTAAATTTTAAACCTAACTTAAAAATTTCTTCTAAATGGATCCAATTCTTCAAGTTGTCAATTCCTATTTTATGCATTCAAGGAAGTTGATAGATTTTGTGGTAAATTCTTTATGTTGAGAATTTTGAGAGCGTGGAAATTGAGCACGAGTCCGATAAGAACATTTATATAGGGAGATACTACTTGCCCTACCATGAGTTCTTCTTCTGTTCTTTACTCCTTGTTTTACGAAATACTAAAATTTTAAGGGTGAGGTTGGTATATAATATTAAGATTTGAAGGTCGAGATTTTTTATCAAAAAAATTATCATGCTTAACAATAATGTTGTATTGCTGATTTGCTTTTTCCTTGACATCCCATTTTCGGTTAAGGGCCAAATCATATTATCATCAAAAAAGGAATAATGGGTGCCGAAATAATCTGCATTCAAGTAATTTTTGGTTCAAAAATAGTGATATGAGACAAAGCCCCACCCCCCCCAACCGACCTGGCATATGCAAATGGTGACATTATTATATATAGTGCCCACGTTTTGCTTTGGCATCTGCTTTCTAAATACTCATTTGGGGACAAATGTCCTATCCTGTCCTTTTTATGTGCCCTATAGTTAAGGGCTTTTTGTCCCCTATATATATGTATATGTTATATTTTTGATAACCTGTGTTTTTGTTGGCCGATCTTAGTGCTACATGTCACCCATTGAAGTCATCCATAATCCACAAAATCAATGTCATTACAATTATGTTTTCATAATATGTTCGTAAATTATATAAAAAAAAAAAAGAATGAAGGATTTAAATCAAAAGGTTTGTTAATATAAAATAATTAAGCTTTAAATAAATTAGAGTTTTGCTTAAATAAAATCAAGTGTGATATGTGCATGCAATTTGGTTGTAAACCCAAATATAATTTTTCATAAAAAGAGAAAAATGAAAACAAAGCCTTTTGTTGTAAACTAATTGTTAAATTTTTTATTTTAAAATTTTTTAAAATTAATTATATTTTTATTTTTTAAAATAAATAAATATTTTTAAATATCAAAATTAACTATTTATATATATATATAAAAAAAAAACTTATATAACTCAACAATTTGTTACGTAACTTTCACTACTTCCGTGCGAATGGCCCTAACATGCACCTTTCAGTACTGCCACAACCGTGCCGGTTAAGAAGAAAATGTAATACATAAATTTCAATGATTTTGTCTACTGGCATTTATCAACAAAAATCCAAAACACTATTATTCTAATTAATAAGTGTTTTGAGTTAGTTTGTATGTAATAAATAACAATTTTATGAGCTTCAAAGCATGACTTAAACTTAATTTTTGATTGTTAATAATCTAAATAATTTAATGATCATCTTCTTTAAAAAGTATGAGGTTCTGAGTTTAAATCACATAGTACATAAGTGAGATGAGATAAAAAATATAAGATAATTACATTTTATTATGCAATCAAGATAGAAAACAAAAAAACTCAACTTTTGATTAGTATTTAATTTTTAAAAAATTCGAAAATGGGGGATCTTGTATCTCAAATAAGTATTACTACTGTTACTCTATATATCATATTATGTTAAAATTTTACATTAAAATTTTACATTAAAATTGTTAACTACTTAAACAAGTCAATGATAATATTCTTTTTATAAAAGTAAAAGATTATAAATTTAAATTGTAGGCATGTATGTAAAGTGAGTTAAAGAATAGAAAAATATAACATGCCGTTAAATAATCCAAATATATATTATATATATATAAAATTAGATTAAGATCTCCATTGCATTGACTTAATTGAAGCCAGATCCAATCTCAATGGTTGATGATGAGGACTTGCTCCTCACTCCTCACCATGTGCTTGCGTTCAGTCTTGGGCAGCCCAACAAAATTTTTCCTAGTTTACTCTACAAATTCAAAGCCCATTAACTTCTACGCTAACACGTGGCCCATCAACCACGGCCCCGGCATCTACCACGGATTTGTATTCATCAAACAATCAGGTTTTCTGAATATTGTCGGAGCCGCCAGCGGTTTGGTTGTTAAGTTAATAGACGGAGGACGGAGCATAGAACGAGAGAAAAATGGAGTCACCGTTCAGGGCAGATATTTTGAAGGGTAAAGTGGCCTTGTTGACCGGAGGAGGGTCGGGAATTGGGTATGAGATATCGTATCAGCTTGGTAAACATGGTGCCTCTGTTGCGATCATGGGTCGACGGAAGCATGTGCTAGACTCCGCCGTCTCCACCCTCCGTTCCCATGGCATCCCAGTAATTTCCTTTCCCATTTTCACGCATCTGCTCTCTGTATTTTTCTTCATGTGCTCTGGTAATTGTTTGCTCCCTGGGCTTAGGAGGGTTGAAGGATTAGTGGGTAATTGTTTGAAATTGATGAACATGCTCGAAAAATTGAGTTCTCAATGGAGCATGTAACGCTTCAATCCCACTGTAACTCTAATTGGTATATAAGTGTGTGACCACTGCTAATAGCTTGAAGTTAAGTTAGATGGATTTTCGGCCTGGATTGTTTCAGAGTATTTCTGGGCCCTTTTTTTTTTTTTTTTCTTTTTTTTTTCTTATTTATAGTGTTATTTTTTTCATTGAGTTTTATCCAAATGCTTTATATTTATAATCATTCCAAATATGAATGTTGTTCATGGTTTAAGAATGAGACTTAAAGCCAAGCCTAAGAAGGCAGGGTCTATAATGCTTAGTTTGTAAGGTGGAGTAACAAAACAAGATCGATTTATTGTCTATATTGTAGGCTATTGGAATTGAGGGTGATGTTCGTAATAGAGATGATGCTGTTAGAGCTGTTGAATCAACTATCCAGCAATTTGGCAGGCTTGACATTCTTGTGAATGCTGCAGCTGGCAATTTCCTTGTTCCTGCTGAAGATTTATCTCCTAATGCCTTTCGAACAGGTTTTACACTTAGTTGTAGTGGATGAAAACATAGTTCGCTTAGAAGTTTATTAAGCAGTTTATCTAGATTTAGGTGAGTGGATTTCACTCGGCCATGAGTGTTTCTCAGCCTATAGAGGGCTCTTAGAGGCTTAGTAATGTTAATTCTTTTTATCATGTTGGCTTCTGCAGTGATTGATATTGACTCAGTGGGCACATTCACTATGTGCCATGCGGCACTTAAGTACCTTAAGAAAGGGGGCCAAGGGAAAGACTCATCTTCTGGTGGAATGATAATAAACATTAGTGCTACTTTGCACTATACTGCAAGTTGGTATCAAATCCATGTGTCTGCTGCAAAGGTTAGTCAATCTTATTTGTTGTTTCAGGGTTTGCTTAAATTTTTCCTCTATGGGGTTGAAGTTTCTAGCACATTCTGTTTCTATTAGAGCAGGCAGCTGTTGATAGCATAACTAGAAGCTTGGCACTCGAGTGGGGGACAGATTATGACATCAGAGTCAATGGGATTGCTCCAGGGCCAATTGCAGATACCACAGGTGCTAGTAAACTTGCCCCTGAAGAAATATTAAGTAAAGTTAAAGAGGCACCTTTGTTCAAATTTGGGGAGAAATGGGATATTGCCATGGCTGCTCTCTATCTCGCATCTGATGCAGGTACCTCTTTTCATCTGTTCAATGAGTTCTTAGACTATGGGGTTATTTAAAGCATCACCATGTGTTCCATACCAGCATTTCTTTGGTGAATGCATCTAATACACTAGTCTAAACATAGATATTATGATATATGATGTCTACCATCTTTTTGATGCTTGAAGGGAAGTATGTCAATGGAACAACACTGGTTGTTGATGGCGGAGAATGGCTGAGCAAACCCCGTAACTTGCCAAAAGACGCAGTGCAGCAACTGTCTAGAATAGCGGAGAGGAGGTCCCGGGAAGCACCAGTTGGGGTACCAAAGAGCAAGCTCTAATAATGTGCCTAGTGATTATGTTGAAGTTTTATTTTTCACTGCCCTACTCATCGATAGTTTTTAATCAAGATTTGTATCATGAACTTATTCGTGAACACAGCAAAAGCTACTTGTATTTGTATTTGGCACTGTACCCAAAGAAATAAATTCCTGATAGACATTGACTTGTAGTTTGAAAAGTTGTGTGTTTTTCCTCCCTTTTTTTTAAAATTTTTTTATTTGATTAAGGGAAAAGGAAATTTCTAACGAAGCATGCAGCATACTAAACCATTGATAAAAGGAGATTTTTCAGTAGGCCATAGCGGCTAGGATTCAGAAAATAATTGCCACGGAGATGGTTCAAGAATTTATTATTAGGGAATAATTTTAGATGTCTCTCTATTTGCTAAATTATAATATTTTGTACAATATATTATGGTACTATTTCTCCAAAACTCCTCTTTTCTTAGCTGTTGCGTGGTAGAACAGCACGAGCATGCCACTGGCTTTAGTCAAAGTAAGAAAGATGGATTTCTT